CTTCCATGCCTGCTGCCTAGAAGGGCCCTGTCAATTCCTGAATTATTATTTATTTGAAAGTTTCTTAGTGTTGTTTGCCAGCTATGTTAAATGTCTCTTGTATTTGTGTGAAATAGGTCAGTTCTCACTATTCCATAGAGCAGACCCATTTCTGTTCAGGTTAAAGTCCCTCTTATGGCTGAATTTAATGAGACTTCCTATGTGATCCTGGGTTTATGTAATTTCTTAACAGTGGCTGCTTTTCTTGGAATTGTAATTTATAGAAATATACTACCTTGTACTGGTTCAATATGAAATGCATATATTGTAATTCTTGTATCTGCAACCTCTTTCTGGGAGCACAGTATGATATGCAAACATTTGAACTCATCATCCATAACTTACAGTTAGCTGTATATATAGGAGTTAGTTGTGTGTGTGTATATATATATTAAAAAAAAAACCCACACATATAGCTATAACTATATTCCATTGTATGTTGGTTAAAAGGATCAGTACAACTTTTTTAATTTGCAGTTATATTTCTTATCTTCATTTATTTATTTTTAATACTAGGCAGTATATCAAAACTGCTTAAATTAGAATGTTTAGAGATTTGTCCCACTGCTTTTTGGGGAAATGCCTTATGTAAATAGTATGTGTAAAAGAGGAGATGAAACTTGCATAAATCTGCCATTACATTGTCCAAAAAGAAAGTCAGCTCCTGTGGCAGGACCTCCCTCCTATCAGCAACAGCCACAGGTTTCATGATCCTTCCCTGTTATTCTGTGTGTGGTGACACTGTTGAATTTGAAAGGTGGTGATAAGGTGGAACAGAGTACAAAATCATCCTGATAAGGGATTCTTGTTGGTCTGTAGTTAGTATGGCTACTTATAAACTGCACAGCTGACAATGTTCAGCTTTATTTCTGTGCATTAATAGGACCTGTTAAAAGAAAATAAATTCCAGAATGTCTTTTTGTTTGTTTGTTTTTTACTTTTCAGAAATCACCAAACTGCGCCTACAGGGTGCTCAAGATGCAGCATGTCAAGTTGAAATGGAGGTGGCTGAGCGAGTGTCTGTGCTGGAGGAAGAGCATAAAGCTAAGCTCTCTCTCCTCCACTCTGAGAAACAGCATATTGCAGAGCTTTCAGAAGAAATAAAGCATTTAAAGGAAGAGATTGCTAAACAAAAAGATTTTTCTGTGCAGAATGAAAAGCATCTGAAAGAAGAAATGGAGAAGGTAATTCATTTTACAGTATATATTTTTTGTATAGAGTTGGGCAAGCTCAGATTTATTGGGAAGGCCAAGGGAGATAGAAGCAGCCCTTATCTTTTAAATGTGCCTAGTTTAGTGATAGTAGCTTCAGCTTTAAATAAAATTGCATGGACACACACAAATATTGGAATATGAGTCTGAAGTTCAGAGCACTTTAGTGTTAAACGCTTAGTTTCTCTGCAGATGAATTTTTCTTTAAGAGCACAGATAGTGTGGGAAAGCAGGTGCTTCAAGGGTTGATCCAGTCCACCTTTTATATTGATGTGGGTCAAGCATATGTATACCACTCCAATACAGGCACGTACAGAAGGTCCTCATCCTGAACATCTCCTTGCAGCACATTGTAGCGTCCTGGCGTGAAAGTAACATGGTGCACTTGCATACTGTCATGTGGTAATGGAGAATTCAGCAGAAAGCACTGTGGCAGATAAAAAAAGCCCCTCTGCTGAATGGGTCCCATCTAAGAAATTTCTGGTGTTGATAGGACTGTCTTTTGAAGCAGAAATAACTTTGCAGACTTCTCCCCTTTTTTGAGGGGAGAAGAAAGAATCGGACAACTGATTTCTGCTTTTGCTTTGCTTTGGTGTAGCTCTTATACCTTCACTGTCAAAGTCTTAGAGCTGAAAGAATCATATCTGGCACCTTCCCGCTTACCTGTTAAATCAGCTGTCCCATCTGAGGATAAACTTAGATTCAATGTTAATTCATTGTTTTAATTTGTTCCGATATTTGAATGCTTATGAGAATTAGATGGATGAAGCTCTCATTTCTCAAGCCCTCCTTTCCTCCTTTTTTTAAAGAGAGATAGGTTTGTGTATCCTTTTCCAGACTTAAAATATGGTGGAGAAGGCCAGAGAAAACAGTTGCATACTGTTTGTAGATAACATGGAGACTCAACTGAACCTTGTGCTGGTGAAGCTTTCAGTACTGCTAGTTTACTCCTATCACCTGCAGTATCTTGTTTGTGGCACTGCTTGCTGGGTAAAAGCTAAGCATATACAGAATGCGGTGTTTGAAATGAGCCTTTGCCGCATGGTGATCCACTGTCTAGAAATACATACTTGGTTTGACTTCTGGTCTCTAACTCTCAGAAACGGAGTGAACCAATTTCCTCAACTGCCTCTCTGTTTCCCATACCCCCCACCCCCCCCATCCCGCAGGTTTTCATGGATTGTGTGTTAATCAAAATCTGGGGGGTTTGTGTTTCTTTTCTGCCTCTTCATTTAGGTTGTAGCATAAACGAATGCTTAAATATTTGTTCAAAACAAACCTTCCAAGTGAAAACTGAAGAGTACACTTCATACTGCTGCTCTTATTAGCTTTTAATTTTCTTTTAAGAGATGACCCTGTTGTTTCCTTAGTTTAGTATTCATGTGTTTACCTCTAGTGTATTTTTAGAGTCTTTTTTTTTTCCCTTTTGTCATTGAGCAATCATTTGGTGCTTTGGCTTCTGTTTTTATGCTACAGGCTTTTTATGTTGCTTTTATGCTGTTTGAGATCATGGTCTGCATATAAAATACCACCGGAATGTATAAGGAGAGGAGAGGTTTAAAAGAGATTTTTAATCATGCCCAATATAAACACCTAAGGTGCCCATAGCTTTGTAAGTTGAACTCCTGAAATGGAGAAAAGTGGCCCCAAGAGAAAACAACATGGAGTACCATATTGATTCTAGAATTTTCCCTTAATTTTTTCTTATCTTCCTTACTTGTTAATAGTATGTTGAATTCAAGTACCTATAAATTGACGTTTCAGCCTTACTTTTATTGGAAGGGTGACTTTGCTGCAAGAATTGAATCTCTCCAAGACCTTAAATGCCTGAGAATGTCCACTTCACACACTTCAGTTAGGTTTTGGTATTTTATGCATTTTTAATAACTGTGTTCACAGGTCAAATATAAAATTGCTGAGGATCACAAGAATAAATTAAGGGAAGCCAGAGAAGAAGTCCAGAAAATCGAGACTATATACAAAGAAAAAGAGAAGAAATGGAAACGTGAAAGTGAGGACCAGAGAAGCCAAGCAGAAGAGATGTTATCATTGGTGCGTATAGAACTGCAAAATAGAGCGGAATATGAGAAGCAGAATTTACAAAAGGAGTTTGAACTTCGTGAAGCTGAAATGAATCAGCTTCAAGATCACCAAGCTGCCAAAATTTTAGAATTGGAGAAGTTGGTAAAAGAGCAGCAAAACAACTTGCAGCAACTAGAGGACAGCCTTGCAAGTGCACAGGCTATGCAGAAATCTCAGGAGCAATATGACAGTGACCTGCAGGAAGCCAAAGCATGCATGGCAAAAGAAATGGAAAAGGCCACGCTTTGTCTGCAGGAAGAATGTGCACTGAAACTTATGGATGCACAAAACAAGTAAGTCCTGAGTATTTGAGCACTTTCACTTACCAGTTCAGTCATTGTTATTGTTACTTTTTCTTATTTTAAACTTAATGAGTCAGTGATGTAGGTTTGTCACTTGATGGCACCAGCTATTTATCGAACATATAATAAAATTATACAAATTCCTTTTCTGGGTTAAGTAAAGGTGGCCTGTCCACCTTGGTAAAGACCAGTAGTTGATATCTTTTGGCAGGAATTTGGATGACACGTCATGATTCTGAGCCCATTCATCCCTACATACTACCACACCCTAATGTGTCACCCTTTTGCCTAAGCTGTTGTATATGTAAAGCTTACTCTCCCAAGGAACAGTAATACTGTCCATTATGGTTTACTATAAAATTTTGCTTCATGTAAATGTATTTAATCTAGTCTAGCAAATCAAATTAAGTGTAGTCAAGTTCTGCCTGTTACAGTTAAGAATACAACACACAGCTCAAAATTGTATACTAGCCTTGGAGGAGAGGAAGTGTTACAGGACATGTAGATGGAAAAACTATCTAAATTTTTTTCAAGCGTTTTCAAACAATTCAAATGAATTTGAGCAAGTTTTGCCTGCTGAATGAAGCTTGTGTTATCCACTGAATGCTGAGGTTGACAGGCTGCATATGGTATTCTTCAGTTCTGGTTAGACATAAAGGTTGTAACTGCTCAGTTTTTTCTCCCCTTCCTACCTTCATTGTTTTTAGTGTATTAAAGGAAATATTCAAGCAACTACATGTCTGTATTTGCATGCTTTGCTTCAAACTTATCCCTTCTTTCCTCCCCAAACATACACTCATAAAACAAGATTGGGGAAATAATTACAGTAAGAAAATGCTGAAAGCAGGAACTCAGTCTTTAAATAACCAACCACTTTTTAAATATTGGTGTCTGTATCCAAAAATACTATGGTTAACGAGTACAGTAAATTACAGCATTTCAGATCCTAAATCTTCTGCATCAAGCTTTAAGCAGAGCTCGGAGAGCTGAGATGAGTTTGGAGGAGCCCCCAAGTATCCCACATACACCTCCACAGTGGTTTTATCTCAGTCTTAGCCAGATGTTTTTAGAGATGTTTCTTACCACAATTTGTTTGCTTGCAGACAACACATTCAAGATGTAGACAATGTATATACTGTGTCTTAGATGCTCCATATGGCAGTATTTTCTCAAACAGAGAATGATGTTTGTATGTTGCTCTGTATTAGTGAGTAATTTAATAGGGGTTTCAGTCTACCTAGTAATAACCAGACACTACCAAGTGACATTGCATGAACCTTTAACTATGTGGCTATGAAATCATCTTTGTGGCTTGCTTTGAATTAGTTCTCTATTTGAAACATAAAGTAACATTTGTGAAGGCTAAGTACGGCCTACTTATTTTTCTTTTCTTTTTATTATTTCAAGTATTTTTTTTTAAAAAAAACCAGTATTGTCTTGACAATATTCTCTTAACTTTCTTGGAAATAATATAGGTTTATGGAGGAGCACAAAGCCATGACTCAGAAATTCACAACTGAGCAAGAGATTCTTCTCCAAGAGCTGAAAAAGAAGCATGCTGATGAGCTGGAACTCCAAAGTCAGCAGTTACAGGAGAAGCATAAGCAGCAAATTTTCTCTCTTACAGCTGAGTTTCAGACAAAACACCAAGCTGAAATTGAGACACTTAAATCTGCACTAGAAAGTAAACAGCAGATTCAGCTGGAAGCTTGCATTGCTGAACTACAGACAAAGCATCAGGCACAAATTGGTGAGCTGGAGGCTAAACACTTATCAAATCTGGATTCCTTGGAGTCATCCTACCTATCTGAAATTCAGAATATAAGAGATGAACACAGTCAGGCTCTTGAGAAGATGCAGCTGCAGCACACAGAACAACTCCATGAAAAGGATAAAATGGATCAAGCACGCTTGGTTCAGGAAATAGAGACGTTGAAATTAAAGCATGCTGAAGAACTTCAGCTTTCCCAAAATAATTTGAAAATTGAGCTAGCTAGTGTTCATATGGAAAAACTTAAAGCCATGGCTGTTGAAGCAGAAGAAGCTCATAAGGTGAGTCAGAAAGAAAACTTGGCATAGAAGGTGAACTTTCATGGTACATCGTGTGGGATCACCTTTTCCCTTGTTCTTGGGGTGTATTTCTACAACCTCCTTTGTGCCAGCACTAACACATGTGGGCCATATTGTGAGCTGAAATAGGAAACTGAAGCTGAAAGTTAAGTCTGTCTGTCACTTCCCCACCCCGAATGTTCAGACCAATGGGTTTTCTATCTCAGTGTGTGGAAAAGGTACAAATAAAGTAAATATTTTTAACATAATTCAGACTGGAAGGGTCTCCATTTTGTGGCTCAGCTTCTCTGCCTGATGGAGTTACCAAGTAATTCTTCAGAAGTGATTAGAACAAATTCAGTGTAATTCTGTAGGTTAAGCTGTATCTCTAGGAATCCAAAGATCCTAGTGGCACAGTCTTGAGGGGAAGAATAGAAGAAAGGTATCTCATTTTGGGAGCAGGTCATGGGTGAGTGGACCTTGTCTTAGGGCCTTTAATAGAAGTCCATAGCTTTAGTTTTGATAAAGCAGAGGTGTGAGCTCTTTTAGAGTTCAGATGGGTAAAAAAAGATCCCAAGACTTCTCCAAGTCAAAGAGATAAGAAGGCTTAGCTCACTGCTAAAACTTCAGAGCCTTCCAGAGGGAGATGTGCTGTTTTTCAGACCTGTCTGTTACCATGCCTACTTCCCCAAAGTATGATTGTATGTTGTTTCTGTGCCCACAAAGGCACAGAAAGGCAAGAGGAAGGTCGTGGGGGGGGAAGGTGGGTATTTTTCTTCTGTCCTGTCTTTGCTAACTAATCTTAAATCTGCATTTTAATGGTTCTTGAGTGTAAAGAACTTCAAAAAGCAAAATGGAAGATTGTGCTGGTGGGGAGTGCTGTCACGGATAGAGGAAAAAGTAAGGTATTTGCAAGACTTTTACTAGATAGGAAAAATAACCCCATTTCAATGATATAGACAGTGTGTATACGTATGTGTGCTCATCATTCATCAGGCAATGTTGTTCGTGTTTACTTAAAAAGCTTTGATACAGCAGGACATTTGCTTTACAAATGGGTTACAAAAATATTTGTACTTACTTTTTTCCTCCCCTTTTATAATTAATGCTTACACAGGATGATTTGAACACAGCTCTTCAAAATCAAAGGAAGTTGCTGGAAGAAGAAAAACGTCTGGCCCTGGATATATTACGTGAGGAAGTGTTGCATATGGAGGAAAAGCATAGAAAAGCACTCCAAGAACTTCAGGATCTTCATGAGGCAGAAATTAAGCAACATAAGGAAGAATACTCCAGAGAGCTGGAAAAAGAATTGGGGAAACTAAAAGCACAGCATGAACATGAGCAAGAGGTCGGAATGTTGCTAATACTTAAACCCAAAATAATCCATACTTTAACATAAAGTAAATTCAGTTTTATTAACCTTAGCAGTAAGGCTGTATATCTAGGTGCTTTCTGGATTTTTTTTTTTAATAGTGCTAGTAGATAAGAGGAGACAAAGTTAACATTTTTAAGCGTTGCTTTATCTAAAAGGACTTAAAAGAATTCAGATATATGTGTTATCCTGAATAGTTTTAAGTTTAGATCCATGTTTGCAGTGCTCTCTTTACTGGGGTGGAGGGGAGAGGGAACATGGGCTTGCTTTCTTCTGAGTTCCTGCTGTATTTAATTCAAAATTTTAAAGCTGTCATTTTGGTAGAAAACTAATAGGTAATAAATTAGGTCGTTAACCATTTGTGGAAAGTAACTGCACACTTCAAGCTTTTATAAGGGAACAACCTTTACTAACATTGATTTCTTCTTTTCTTAAAGAAATTGTAGTGGTAATACTTTTCCAAATATGTTTTCTCAGTGAGGTTTGGAAATCTTCCTAGTTTCTCTTAAAGGTTTACCATTTCTTCTTGTTCAGAATGTTTATGTGTAAGCTTGATGATGTTTACTTTCACAGTGAAGGCTAAAAATTTGACCATCTACATTAACTTCTCTTTAAACATTGAAATGGAGTAAGATCTTCTATTTATTCAGTCTTTTATACAGTCTGACTTCTGTTGATGCAAGAAGCCATGAGTGATCAAGACTTTTCACTTTTCTGTATTATTAACACTCATATATTGGGAGAAGTCACAAACAAAATAAGCTTTGTCCAGCTGTAACCAAGCAACATACGTTATGTTAAAATGTAACTTACTTTTGCTTTTTCACTTACTAATTTGAAAATTGAATAGTGTGCCAAATAACTCCCTAATCACTGGTGCACCTTTGTATTACTTGGTGCACCTCCCATATAGGTTTGAGGAGATCCCCTGTGTTTTGGACTGTCAGGCCTTAGAGCTGGTAGTGGTTTCCAGCTGTCTGGAGTGCTTTGCAAACTCTCTTTGCTTTTGGAAGAATAGCTTGCCTGGGAAATTAGTTTTGTGGGAAGTTCTGATGATTACATTTTTAAGCCCTTCATCCTAGAAACAGGATTTCTCTCTATTCTGATGACTACAGTGACTCTTCTTAGAGAGGATAATAGGAAAACAAACAAACAAAAAAAACCCCAAACAAATGAATGAAAAATTGCCAAACCTTTCCCTGATATTTTTGATGGACCTCTTTGTTGTATCTGATAGGATAATTGCATTAAATATAGCTGTGTAATGTTTAATTCCATTTGAACAAGAGAATAACATATTTATTTTGAACATATTTTTGTAATTTAAGAAAATATGTTCTCCCTGTGTTTCTCTCCCCCTCTTTCTTCATTATTTCTTTGAATTTCTTTTAGGCAAATGTCTCTTGGAAAGAACAAGTAGGGAGTACTTCTTTAGTCTGACCTGATGGTCTCATGAATACAGGAGATACGTGGTACCTAATGCCCTGTTGCTTATCTGTTTTTATCAACTTGTTTTTTTGTATAGTTAGTCTGATGATAGAGAGCAGCTCTGTATGGCCTTGAGGATTGGAGACAACTATTGTGAAAATAGTCTTAAGAATTTGGCTGAGCTTGATGGTTTCATTTGGTTTGGTTTTGTTTTTTCCTTAATTATAATACTATCGCTAAAAAATTTGTTATGTACTTGTCTGCAGATGTATGCTTCTGCATCGGCCTCTGAAGTAGAAACTGTGCAGACAGTTCTTCTGGCTCAATTTGAGGAAGTAAAATTGAAGCAGCAACTTCAGTTCCAGGAAGAGATTGAGCTGCTGAAGTGTCAGTCAGAGGTACTGCTTGAACAGCAGATTGCACAGCTGAAGGTAGGGTCTGATTAAAATGAACTTCAGAGCATGCCCTGGTAATGTGTTTTTCTGAAAGAGAACAATTTGTATACATTTTTGTTCTTCAGCCATATGACTTTAAAAAGACCTTCTGAGTTAGATCTCTTCCTTGCTTCACTATGTTAGAGCTAGAAAAGCAGTATTGGAAACAATGCAGTGTTTTGTAAGCAGTTATGGTATTTACTACAGGGTTGTCTTAAAATCCTGAATTGGATGTGAAGTGGTGTCCTTCAAACAAAACCAAAAAAATCAATGGAATGTATTTGCTCTAAGCAACAGTCCTTGCACGTTCAGTTTGTCATTTGAAACTTTCTTCTTGGTGTCTGCAGAGACTGTGCCTTTGGTCTATCATCCCTTGTCTACTGTGCTTGTGTATATATGGCAAAAAACATTCAGTGTTATCTAAGCTTTTACCAAGTGTGTGATGACAGCGAGCACTTTGTGCATGAGATTTTTTGTAATTTTTTCTTAATTTCTGCTTTCATTGTTCATCATTTGAGTTCCAGACTTTCATCTTGATGAGCATCTTCAAGATGCTTATCCCTGAAAATTATCTTTGGCCTTGTGTATGATATAGTAATTGCCTATCATCTTCTGAGCCGTGTGCAAAAAAACCTTCATTGGTTAGGTGACAAGCACATATAGAGCTATTACATGAATGGAGAATACACATCCTGTGTCAGAAGAGAGAGGGAAACTCACCAACACACTGAGAGCAGTGCTTATATTCATCTTGGTGTTACCACTGTACTGAGCATGTGTTGAGCTCAACTTGTTGAGCACAAATAATTTAGATGAGGTGAACTGTATTTGCTCTGTATTTGCTTCCCTTTGGGAGATTTCAACAGATCCTTACTGTTCCTGTCAGTGCTCCAGCCTGAGGTGGGACTCTTCCGAAGAGTTGTACAAACCTCTAGGACAGGATGCTGCAGATGGTGCAGAAAATGTCTATTTTCTGCCTCTGGCCCACTGTGGAGTCCTGGTCAATCTTTGACCTCTCTCCATCTGAGGCAGGTGTCTTTTGAAACAGAGGACACAAGTGTATCCTGAAAAGCTGCTGGAGATGTTTGGCATTACTGTCCTCAACTGAACCCCAGCCATCAGTGCACAGGAATTGGGGCTGGACTGACTGTATATACACCAGAAGTGATTCCTGCTTTTCCCTCTCTTGTGCTGCCTAGGTGCTTTAGTTACTGAGTAGCATTTGGGACACCAGAAACCTCTCTCTTTGTTGAAATTTTGCCAGGGGTAATTCTACTGCTAGCACAGATGTCTGTTCGTTTGGATTTGGGGTTTGGGTTTTTTTTTTCCCTCTCATTACCTTGATGGCTGCTGTTTCGTCCCAGAAGAGATTGACTGGATCTCTTTGCATTGTCAGGCTGAGCTGCGTCATGGACTGATACAGGCTTTTACAATGAACCTTTCCCTGCCTACTTCCCCCATGCTCATTTATGGGGTTGTCTTCATGCCAGCCAGTTTTCTTGCTTTCTTCCCCTTACCTTCCCTAGCAGATTTTAGGTATTCAGAGTTCCTTTCTACAGTCTGACATACTCTTTTAGTGGATGCACTGCTTCTGAGAAGAATAGGCAGGCTGTTTCAGAGACTTAGGCCACAAGTTTACAGTACTGATCAAGGAAAGTCCTCGTATTCCTTTGTGTCTGTTCATTTGTATCTTGCTAACTGCTAAGCCCTCTGTTGTTTGAGTCTACAATTCTGGGCAAACTTGGCTCTTCTGCCTTTCTCTGCCTCGTGGATCCTGGGTAGGAGTTGGTATTGTTATTTCCCAAGTGCCAGTATTGGTCTTGATGTTGGCTATGATGACAGACCTTATGGTCTCATCAAGCAGCAGGCAGTCCTCACCTGAGGAGCTGGTGATGGATGGGTTATTCTGCTCAGTGCAAGGACTGGCTGAGTCTTACACAAAGGATCCAGGGCAGCTCAGGTGACTACATATGTTCTGCTCTGAAGTCTTACTTCATGCCTTGGGGACCATTTGTTTTCTTGACTTAACCAATATAAAAAAAGGCATCTATCACCTTGGAGTGTATTGGTTTTCATAGATCAAATTGCATGTTTGTTTTGGTTTGGTTTTTTTTTTTTTTTTCGATACTGTGATCAGGGAAGACTTATTTCCCAGTTCTGGTGTGGCAGAAACAATTACTTCCTTTTAGCTTCTTTGGGAAGGGATCCCAGGACCTTGTTTGACCTCCCTTATTTGCTGATGCAGGAGTGGGGGGATGTCTAATAATACCTTTCTTTAGAGTGCTTTAGAGCAGTCCGAGGTAAATGAGATCCAATTTAATAGCTTCTAGATCATTTAGCCATGTAAATCTTACCTAGTAGTTTTTCAGTTTGTTCTGGTAAGTCACTCCTCCTATGTGGAACTCAGTACTATGTGCATTGTACTACTTGCAGTTGCTGAAAGTGGCTTCTGTCCATATCTGTCGTGACTTGTCCATCTGTTTTCTGTTCCTCATCACTATCTCAGCAGTCTGAAATGACCCAGGTCTCAGTGAGCACATTCATACGGTTCATTTACCTACTTAACTATTTTTGAATCATAATTTGGGCATAATTTTGTTGATTAGGGGTGTTAACTGTGTAAGTTACTGCTAGTTAATCTGAGAGGTAAGGTGCGCACATTTAAAGAAAAGAAGAAACAGGCAGGGGGAGGGTTGTGGAGGTTTTTTGGGTTGGGATCCCCCCTGCCCCCTGTAAATCAAAGTATGTGTGACTTATGCAGGATGAATTTGAAGCTGAAAAAAAGACATCACTGCATGACAAGGAGCAGATGTTGATTCAGGAGAGGGAGAAGGCACAGACTGCTCACCAAAAGGAGCAGGAGATGTTATCAGCCCAGCTGCAGGAAAAAGCAGCAATAATTATCCAGGTGTGTGGAAAATATTTTAAACCTAGATTTTAAATGTGCTTCTGTGGTTGTATTTTAGCACAATGCTCTCACCTTTCTCTCTCTCTATATAGAGGGACTATATATAGTTCTTGTGATGGCTAGTTTTCAATGTGGAATGTATGATGGGCTCTGTCTCTTAGTTGGAGTGCTACAGCAGTAACATGGAAATTGAAACTGGGTATCAGCTTGAAAACTAGTCTTCAGTCATTTCTCAGGGAGATCAACAGTGCTTTATAAGAGAAAGTTGGATGTTTGCCTTTTTGTTGTCTGTGTATTGATGCCATCTGTACCTATCACATTTTTTGTCAAGAAAATAGTAGCTTTTGTTAGACCAACTGACCTATACCTCAGAGGAAGTAAGACAGACAAGTGGGAAGTTTGGATCCAGAAGTTGCAAAGATAATATTTGTTTGCCAAACAAAACAAAATTTTATGCCTTCTGTAAAGCAAATATCTAAGTTGAATCTAGGTTACCCAGAAACCTTTAGAGAGAGAGGAACAGCTTGAAAAAGGTATCTGTTTTTTAATTAGGAAGTTTAGAAATGTCAAGTTCTTTTTCAATAATTAAAATAGTAGCTTTCAGTTTTCAAAATAGAAGATAAAATGAAATAAAAGATTCACATCTTCTCTCACAATTCAGAAAGCTCTGACCAAGATGTAAATTTGGTATATGAGACTGCTGTGTTAGGCCTTTATGTTTGGTGGGAAAACTGGGAGTAACACAAAGAATTTCCCCTACGGGAAGAAATGCATATTGTTTCCTGCTCTTCATGCAGGATTTGATGAGGGGTGAGAAAGTTGGCACAGGAGCAGAATGCTTTTCTTTCTTTGCAGTTTCCTCCCAAATAGATATTTTGACTAATTTGTTGGCTTAATTATGAGACAGAGTTTCTAACAAAATAGTACCCATTTGTTTGGCAGCAAAATCCAGGGGTCATGGGTGAGTATATACATACGTATATGGTTTTTGTGTTTGGGTTTTTTTTATATATATATATATGTATGTATTTTAATGGAATGGAGGTGTCATCTGAACACATAAATATGAGAATACATTTTTCTAGAAATTGTTTTCAGGCAGAGCTTTTAAAGCAAAGAAGAAAGTTAGCTGGCACTGATGGTACTGGATCAGGTTGCTCTTCAGGTTTATGTGCTACAATGTCAAAATTTATGCTAGGACATTGCTTTGTGTCTTTGAGGCATGACAACGAAAGCAAACTAAGAACAAACTAAAGTATGATGCAAAGTTTTTACAAGCTTTTTGCATTGCTTGTATGTGCTGAGTCTGAATGCAAGTGAGGCAGCTCCCTGAAGCAAAATCAACATCAGAAAAGGAGAACTAAAAAAAAAAAACAAACCCTGATTAATTTTTAGTCCCTCTGCTGTCCTTCATTTCTAGTACTTGTAGAAGCAAATTTGCGTAACAGCAGATGATGATTGTGTGAATATATACAAAGTGAATGAAGGGTAGGATCATTGGGTGAGGTTCATAGTTTAGGTAAAATGATTGACTTTATTGCATCATTACTGTATTTTCCACAGCTGGAAAAGAAAGTGGAGTCTTTAAACTGTGAAATAGAGGAGACTAACTCTGAATTGGAGACACTCCTTCAGCGGCGGGACAGAGAAAACCAAGAAGGAGGGAATTTGGTAGCCATGTTGAGATCTGATATTGAGCAGTCCAAAGATGAAAGGTTTGTATATTTTGGGTTACATAATGCTTAGTGGTTTGGTTTTTGTTTGCTTGTTTTCTCACTTTTCAGAAAGAAATCAATAACTAGGCAAAATTAAGACAGCTCAAATTAATAGTGTAGGATGATGGTATATTGGTTTATTTGCAAGGTTTTTGAGGGGTTTTTTTAATTACTAACCTATCTTGATATGGAGAAAAAGATTTTTTTCTTCCTTTGTTTTCTTGTGGTCTGATGGAGACTTTGGTGTTTTGGGGTTTCCATTGTCTATAATCTTGGAAAAAGCTGGGAAATGGAGAAAGCTTCTTGGTCACAGAAACCTTTCAGTGAAATGTGGATTGGTTTGATATGTAATTGGGATGTGCGGATCAGAGAAGCTGTCATGCTGAGTAAGCTTCTAGAAGAATTCCATCTCTCACCTTTAAGAAACAGGCTCATTGTTTTTCTTAAAACTGTTTTCATAATTATAGTTTTTGTTGTCTACTCTGCCAGAACACCCCTAGTTATTTTGATATCACAGATGCTATAGTAGTAAAAGTGTTCTCCCTTCTAGTGCTTCCACAGATGTGGAAGCCTGAAATGCTTGTGACTGCAGTATGATCTCTCCATCTAAGTGTGGAGAAGACAAAGGTTTTTTTGCCGAGCCTGGTCTGTGAAAACAGCCTTGGATTTTTGTGAGTCATCTGAATCGTCTTCACTGATAGCTGTCAAACTATGGCAAGATATCCAGTTTAGACTGTCAGTTCAGTAGGTTTGAAGTGTCTTTTAAGTCAACTGCATGCAATTTTTGAAGCATTTGATATGTTATTGTTCTAGGAAAAAACTGCAGGAATCTTATCAGCATCTTTTGAAATTGCTTATGGAGTTGGTAAAGGCCACAATAGCTGTTGAGGACCTTATCTGTAGCAAGATTGGTCTTTGCCTTGATGACAGTCTGGCTTCTGGAGATTCTAGAGAAACTCACAGTACTGTGGAAGAAATAGGATTCACGCAGTATTTCAAAGTCAAAGAAAAACATCACCTAGAAAAAGGTGAGTACAAATCTGCATAACTGGATGTAGTCCATTCATGTTCTTGAAAAAAGGCCTTTTGATTTCCTTTTATATGGATGAGGTTCAGAAAGAGGATATCTCTTGTTGCAGTGTTTTCTGTGTCTCTTTCGAAGTTGCTCCACATTTAAGAGAATGTCTGTGTGTTCTTTCATTTTAATTCTTTTAAAAGTGCAACTACTAAAACGCTGCTGAAGAAGGCTGAATGGATTATAGGGCAGGAAAGATGAACTTGTTGTCAGGTCCTGACATATAGCACAATATTTCCAAACCTTGTGAAAGATTGTCTTGATTTATCAACATTGAGTTATTGATGTCTACAAGTTTTCACCTTGTAATACATCTTCAGGACCAAACAATGTCACTGTCTGATGTCAGTTATCTGAGTGGCCAGTTCTGTGTCATTTTTCTATGTCTTTGAATAGCTTGCTTGTTTTCAGTAGATGAGCTGCTTGATGAAACTCTCACAGAACACAACCACCTGTGTCCAGTGACTGATGAGGGGTCTGAGTTGAGCCAGTACTTATGTGAAAGTGTTTTTGTAAAGCCAGAATTGGCATGTGAAAATGAAGAAATGATACTGAAAATTGGTCATCGTTTGCGTACTGCAGTGGAGAGACTTCTGGAACTGGTTACAGAATCAACTAAACAAGTAAAACTTTTTAATCTGTGTAGATGTATAATTATATGTGAAATCTGTTTTAAGGCTTGTGTATCTAGTACCCTGTAGGATTGGCTACTAAAAAGAAACAGATTTTGTCTGAATACATGACAAGTTATCCGTATAGGAAGGCAAGTGCATCCCCTTTTTCTTACAATGAAGGTTTTGCCCTTATTTGATCATTTCTTATAAATGAGACTTCAACAACTTCTTTCTTCTTCTAGCAGATCCTGCTGGAAGGCTATAAGTTGGTTACCTTAAGTAGGTTTAAACTAGGATTTTAGATGCATTTGGTAACTTCAGGAGACCAAGAGTTAAGGGTTTTTGAGGGGGTTTTATCACACTTCACATCAGTGCTTCAACATTGATAAGGAGGTTCAAGAAAACTCAGTCCCATGTTAAAATGCGTTGGGAATATGCAGATAGCAGCAAGCAAACATCCTTGTTATTATATACTGCTTAATGGTGATAAAAGGAGCTGAACTCTATCATAAAAGAATTTGAGCGTTTCCATACTGAGTTTTGCAGTGTCTAGACGTTCAGCTTTGTGAAGAGAAGTTGTAAATCTGAGGTAGATGCCTGAGTACAGTATACATTTAGAGGATTGAATTTAGTGCTACAGTAATTAGTTTGTCGAGTAAAGAAGCCCCTAATTTAAGAGAAAATGTGAAGGGAAGGAATGTATCTGAAATTCATATTCTTGTCAGGTATTGTGTGCAACCCAGAGATAAGCATCTGTGTGAAATGTATATTCACCGTCTTAAAAAGTCCCTCCTAGCATAAGGTGCTTAAATTTGTACTTTTGGGTACTGATGCTGATTCCATTAGCATGTAGTTAACTTGTGGTTAAAGCACTTGCCCAAGCTGTGGCAGATCTAGATTCTAGGTCACCTTCATCAGCTGCATTGAAGCATACTTTGCTTATGTCAGAAATGTTCTGTCCACCAGGATAAGCTAAATACAAAATAAATGGGAGTAGGGCTGCTCCATTCCTTTCTATTTCCTCTGAAATTGAGACATTGCATGTGGGAATACAAGATACATAGTCTCAGAGAACTGGTGCCATACCTTGGAAACCTGAAGATGTATTGACTTCACTGTCTGTTAGACATGCCTGAATCTCTTGAAGAATTTAAGTGCAAGGTTGCTTTGAATTTCAAGTGGTTCAGGAATTGTCAAGCTGAGCAGTTTACCCAACAGGGAGGCGTATCTTTTTATGCACAGAAAAGAAACTTACATGCCGAAGTAAGATTTGTGGCAAAAATACAGGTGCGTGAGTACAGAGAGTCACCAAAGTGTCCAGGGGTTTTGGGTAAAGTCAACCTAGTATTAAAATGAAACTTTAGAACTTGGACCTTAATGCATAAATGTTGTAAAAAATATTAAGAGGGTTGGGTTTTGTTTAAATGTCTGTAGTATCGTTACATTGTACATGCATCCAAGATCTGATGCTAGGGGAGATTGTTTACTTTTTAGCTGGAGAAAATGCATGAAAACCATGCACAATTTGAAGAAGAATTCAGCCGCCGAAATAAGGAGGCTGCCCAAGTGGTTAGTCAGCACCAGGAACTAATGGAGTGCCTTAGCGAGGAAAGCGAAGCCAAGAATCAGCTGGCACTAGAGCTTCATAAAGCAGAAGGTAAGAAACTGAAACCAATAGGAAGAGATTTCAGTGTCATTTACTCATAGCTTATTTCTCCAAATATCTATGATATGTTTTTTGTGTCTTTTGTTGTTGATTTGCCTATCTGTAATCCATTTTCTGCCTTTCAGATTACTAAGTTACTTGAAACTTGGGTCGTCTTTTGCAAATACTACTTAACTCTCTTCATCAGAATTGCATTTCCCTGGGGCGAGCGTGATACTGCTTAGTCCTGTACTTATACCATTGACTGTGTGTGAAAAATACCATAACTTTTAAAACAGCGATTTGTGTTCCTGCATGTCTAAACATGGGAGCTTGGATTATTGAAAAGAAAATATACTCCCAGTGTAAAACAGCCCACCTGTCTGACCTTGGAAGGGTTCAGCACAAACTAGAACAATGTTTGATGGTAGTGCAGGCATAAAGAGATTCCATAAGAAGAGACAGAAAGGCTGAGGCTGTTGATCTCAATGCTATCACAGACTGCATATTGTCAGTCTAATTCCCCCTTGTGAAGATTACGCCCCCCTTGTGAAGATTATGACTTGAGGTCTTCTCCTTTATGTAGGAGAATGTTTGAGAGTTTCTGTGTCCTTCAAGTTGAGCTTCGCTCCCTAATCATGGCATCTGCTTTCCATTCCTCTTCTCAGTCGTGCTCCTTTAGGCTTACTTGGTCTTTCCAAAATCCTGTTTCCTTCCTTTCTGTGAATCATTCCTGGATTTCTTGGGCTCTGACTCTAACACTTGATCTTACTTTTTGGAGATTGTGTTTCTTTGAACTTCAGCCCCCACCAGAGGATGTGTCAGGCTATATATAGGTATATACATTCATATATACTTATATGTATATAAATACATATATCTAGGTAGGTATATACATTCCTATGTAGATATATGTATATATGTGTGTATATACATACCTATATATAGGTATACTTATATATACATTCCATATCCTACATATACGTTCTACATGGTTGGAGACATTTTGTGACATGTCAGCCTCATAAAATCTGTTAGAATACATTAACTGGTACATTGTATTCCTTAAGATACTTCAAAAAGCCTAGCTACAGTGTAAATTTAAGTCATCTTGCACATCTTCCTTTCTATGTCACCTTCCATTGTTTGCATAAAATTGTTTATTCACGTTTTCAAGCTGCTTTTTTCCAATAGGTGAATTTGCTGCTTTATTTGCATTCTGACTTGGGGTTTTAGGCATTATCGAAGGCTATGTTGCAGAAAAAGCTGCACTGGAAGAGGCCTTGAACCTGAAAGAGGAATCTGAGCGTCGCCTTGTTGTGGAGCTGGAGAGTATGCGTGAACGTTTCCAGGAGCTAACCCAGGAGCAAGCAATTCTTGGTGAGGAGTGGGTATGACACTATTAGCGGGAAAACAAAATCATCTCCAGTCAGGGCACACTGCAATGTGTTTCAGTCTTTGGTTTGATGACCTAGTGAGCAGCTCAGTCTGGTACAGAGGTTAGCAGGGTCTTCCTGTAAAAGCAGAAAATAAAATAAAGCAGCTGGTTCTTTGCTTATAAGAAGGTAGTACTGTTAGTAAAGAGTACTGGTGTAGTCTTATGCTTAGTTAGAAATGGGAAGTGTCTGAGAAAATAAAAGGCATATGTTAACTACAGGAAGTTAATTTCAACAGATAATTAGCACCTAGTTAGTAAATGAAATGCTGGTTATTTGACACTGCAGTCAAAGAGAAGAGTTGGAGCTTCAAGGCTTTTGACTGCTTCCAGGACTAAGGAGATAGCTTAATAATGATGGAAGAAGTAAAATACTCCTGGAAGATTATTTGAATTACTGAATTATGAAAAAATTATGGTAATGATGTATACTTAGTTTCATCCATAAGCTTTTCTCCTGCTCCCCAGCCTTGTCCTGTCAAAACACACACAGATGATGAGTAAGGGTGACTGTGAAAAGATTTTAATGATCATGCTCAAAGTCTGTTTAGGTTTTTAAAGGAAGGTACATGGGTTGAAAAAGCTGAATGAGGGAGAGGATAAGGTGAGGCAAGTGTCTTAAACTTATATAAAGGGTGACTCACTGCAAGCCAAAGACAGCCATTGAAATACCAAATCAAACTCAGATAATTAGGTGCAAATAAGCAGTCTACAGAAATCCTTCCCCGACTCCATCACTCCATCAGCCCCACAGAGTATGTGATACGATGTAAGCTAACTACAGGGAGCTTGTGTAGGGGAGTGGAATAGGATAAAGGGGAACTCTTCAACATGCTGGATGGAGTCTAGTAACATTCAATGAGTGGAAGTTGGTGCTGTGATAACTCACACTGCAAATGAAGGAGCACGCATTTTAACAGTGACAGTGATTTTAACAGTGATTTAATAAAGACGCTGAAGAATCTCAGTGTAATATAGCTGACTTACATGTAAGATCATTTTTTGAATCACAGAATAAAATTCAGAGTTGTTATGTGACTTGCACTATGCAGGAACTCAAGACTAACTAATGCTTGTTCTTAATGATGAATCTGTGAATCATTTGAATAGCATTATATAGTTTTGACTCCTTGAATTTGCAACCTTAATGTCATTCTAATACTTCTATAAGTGAATTTCTCTGTGTCATCTTCCAGTAGAAATTTATCATTTGGGATCACTGCCTTTCTGTTCCTGCTAATGCCAACATTATGCTACCCTCAGCTATTTCACCACAATGCCACCTTTAGCTATGTTGCATAGATCTTTAGTGTCTGAGCAGACTACATAACAGGTAGTTGTGCATAGTGCATGCTTAGGTCAGAAATAAAGACGGAAGAAACAGTTTTCTAGTTAATTTCTCCACTGTCAGTAGTAATGTAAAGACTCTAGGTTCCAGGGTATTGACCCAAATTCTGTACAATGGGTGTGTTTGGGCACAGTCTATATGTTGCAATTTTCTGTCTACTCCTTCAGGAGGCTTTCAGCCCTACTGTGTCATTTCTCTGCAACTCCTGTCTGCGTCTCACCTCTCCCCCACTACTACTTCTCTTCACTTTGCTGCTCTTCACCTGTCTTCTGACTCTTGACTCTACCATTGTCCTGCTCTTGTGTGCTGCCATCCTTCTGTGTTCTTCCTTTTAGCTCTGCACTCTACCTTTCAAATACCATCAAATGCTATCAAAACGCTCATGTTGTACATAGAATCATAGAATGGTTTGGGTTGGAAGGAACCTTTAAAGGTCAACTAGTCCAACCCTCCTGCAATGAGCAGGGACGTCTTCAACTAGAATAGAATAGGATCTTTCAGTTGGAAGGGACATACAACGATCATCTAGTCCAACTACCTGATCACTTCAGGGCTGACCAAAAGTTAAAGCATCTTACTAAGGGCATTGTCTAACTAAGCACCACGCAGCTGCTCACTCACTCCCCCTACCCCAATGGGATGGAGGAGAGAATCGCCAGAGTAAGAGTGAGAAAAACTCCTGGCATGAGATAAGAACAGTTTAATAATTGAAATAAAGGAAAATAGTAATGCTAATAGTAACAGTATAATAATGATAATAATGATATACAAAGCAAGTGATGCACAATGCAATTGCTCACTACCTGCCGACCGATACCCAGACAGTTCCCGAGCAGCGATTGCTGCTCCCCGGCCAACCCCCCCCAGTTTATATACTGAGCATGACGTCATATGGTATGGAATAGCCCTTTGGTCAGTTTGGATCAACTGTTCTGGCTGTGCCCCCTCCCAGTTTCTTGTGCACCTGGCAGAGCATGGGAAGCTGAAAAGTCCTTGACTAGCATAAGCAGTACTCAGCAACAACTAAAACCATCAGTGTGTTATCAACATTCTTCTCATCCTAAATCGAAAACACAGCACTATGCCTGCTACTAGGAAGAAAATTAACTCTATCCCAGCTGAAACCAGGACAAGGGGCTGTAATTGAAACTAAATGCATGTTGTGCTTGCTTTACAACAGTGATTATGGCCTCAAGTAATATGTCCCACAGGAAATGCAAAATAATGCCATCATATTGTTGAACACAAGTACATCTGTGTGTCATGGAAATGTATGACAGATTACAGAGTCTGTAAGTCTGTGCCAGTGGGTCCTGCTGGACTGAATCCTGCTTTGAATCCCTTGGCAGGAACTAAAAGGGGTGCTTGAGGCAATTATTCCATCTCTGGGTAAAATTGTGAAAAGAGAATATTGGTTGTCTTAGAAGATGCATAAATGACTAGCCAACAATGTTGCAACAAACTTGCATGGTTATAATGTAAAATCATTTCTATAGTAGCTCTAGTCCAATTACAGACATGGATCACCGTATGCCATCAGGAGCTTTGTGTCATAATAAAGATGAAGTGCATTTTTGCCAGATGAAAGGTAGGCACTATCTGTATTACATGTGAATTTCTAGTGATTTAGAAGATGGAATAGATCACAATGTCCTATTCTTGTCTTGTACACATCTTTGTGTTTTGATTCCTAGGAACACCTATTGCTAATGTAGCACAAAAAGAAGGTTCAGGTTTGTAATGATGAGTGTGGTTTTCTCTGGTTTGTGTTGCTGTAACACTGAGTGAATTAATTGATAGTTCTGATTTTATGTTAGCAAAGAGGAATAGTACTTCATAAATAGGCCCAAGAAATTACTGAGACTAAGAATATCTTGGCAAAAAAAAAATGTTACAACTTCTATGATGCATCAGAAACCAACTAAAACTAAGAATATTCAATTCGCTGATCAATATTTAAAGGAAAATAATGTTTTACTGCTCTTAGGCTTAAAATACATTGAGCTGTTACTTTGTGTTTGCCAGCTTCATTTTTCTTTTGAGGGGATGGAGTGGGTCATAAGCTTGCTTTGAGCTTCTAATGAAACACAGTGGGCTGTTAAGATGATTACATTAATTTAAAGGGGGGAAAAAAAGAAAAATGTTTGAGGTGATGTAAAATGGACAGCTAAAAAAAAATACAGCAAGAACTGAAGGAAGTCTAAAGGAGACTAGAGAAATGTAATTGAACGTATAGATAGATCAGAAAAAAGAAGGGGAGAGCAGAATGGTAAGGAAGGCTAGTTATGGGAGGAGAGATGAAACTGAAAACAAGCAAGAAGGATCTGTAGAGTTTTACACTGACTTTGGAAGTCTAGTGCTGAAGTAAAATTTGTAGGTGTCAAATTGAAAGAGGCATCTTTGCCCCGCCCCCAACTAAAGTGTGCATACTTAACTCCTGAGTAGCAAATATTTAAATCTGATAAATTCATAGCTGCCATGATTATGTTTCATGGCCTATTCAAAATGTAATTATCTTATCATATTTTTAGATTAATTTTATTTATATGCACATAATATTCATAGATATGTTCTCTTGCATATTCACTGTCTCTTGTTTTTAGACTTTTTCTTCTCCCCCAAAGGGTGTGAGCTGGGTAAACCAAGTCCCTCAGGTAAATAAAAAAGAATTATCTAGGTAAACTCCAGTTAGAGTTAAAAAGCTGCACTGGGCTGTCTTGCCCATTACTATATCTTTATTCCCCCTGTCCTTTCAGATCTCCCTCAAGCACTACGTTTATCTAACATATTTTTGGTAACCACCTCATTGTCCTGAAATTTGCTGCTGCCCGCTCAATGAGAGGGAATGTCTAACCTAGCTAGTTAGAGTGTATTTGGGGATTGACATTCTCCCAGTTGCTACAGCCAGCTCTTGCCAGCAGCTCATTAGAACTTGAACAGTTGCTTTTGCTGCAAGTGCTGAGCCCTAAAATTCATCCCCCTTCCCCCACCCCAGCCATCTGTAGTACTCTTCCTCTGTTTTGGAATTGTTCGTAGTATGTGGAAAATAGGATAAAAATCATATTGTTTGGAGTTGATTGGCATGGCTTATTCCTTGAAAAGCTGATGCCTCTTCCCTTTTTTGATGTGGAGTACTAATATGAGTAGAATGGCCCCGCTAATAGAATGCATTTAGAATGGAGCTTGGTATTTGCTAATGATTATCTTGGGAGCGGGGAGGAGTGGGCTGGGGCATTACCAAAGTGGAATTGCATGATTTGAATTAACATTAATAAATAGGAGGTTTGTCCCTACAAAGAACCAAACCTGTGATCTGATGATCTATCTGTTCATGTTGCTTGAAATTATATTTATACACTTGGGGAATGTGTGCTTAAAAAAAAAAAAAAAATTAAAAAATTGCTCAAACAGATTACACTTACTGAGATTGCCAAAATTTGATACCTGCTTTCTATGAAACATTTTCAATTCCACGTAAAATCTGCTAGCCTAACCACTTTCTTTCCATTAACTTGCATTTCTGTCTGAGGAGGTTACCATGACTGTTTATTTCAGTTTTATCTAATTGGTATTTTGTTCCTCAGAAAGCAATAGTGTTCCTTTTGAAG